CCCCCCCCAACTCCCCAAGCTGGGACCACCGAGCCCCAGCGGGATGAGTCCCCAGGTGGGCTGTGGGGCACGGACAAGACCCCGCTTCTCAAACCCCCATCGAGGGGTTGAGTTTGAGCCCCCCTGTGCACCCACCAGTGCAACGCTGGGGACATCAGGGACCAAGAACGGCCATGCGAAGCCCCCCCACCCCTGTGGGACCCCCCTCCCAGTCCTGGGCTCACCTTTATGCCATGGCCAATGTCGTCCAGGACGCTGAAGTTGAGGGGTTTCCTGTAGTAGGGCTCCAGGGAGGGTGGGTTGGGGGGGGGCACGATCTTCTGGTAGGACAGGAACCTCTTGCTGACGGTCAACGAGCCGATCTCCCGGCGAGACACCTTCTCCTTGTGCATGTCAACCCTCTGCGGAGACAGCACTGTCCCCACTGTCCCATCCCGGGTTCTCCCCACCTCCTGCTGCCCCCTCCAAGTCCCACCACCCTTCCCAACCCCATCTCCCCACCTGTAAGGGAAGGGGTTGCAGGGAAGGATCAGGATTGAGCCTGAACCCCTCCCCACCCCCAACTCTGGCCAAAGTCACAGGGACAGATCCTGCTCTGCTCCATCACAGCAGGGTGGATGATGCCCCTGATGCCACCGCGGCGGGCTGGGGGGGACAGGGTGGTGGCGAGGAGATGCACAAGCCTCATCCACCCATAAATTGTTTCCCTGCTGTTTCCAGCGTGATCACAGGGTCCCGTCTCCTCCCATGGCTGGAAAGGCTCCAGGCGGCTTCCAAGTGCCAGGAAGAGGGTGGGTGGCCACGGGACTCCGCATCGGTGTCCCTAAGCTCTGGGAGGATGAGGCCGGGCCCCAGCAAGTGGAAAATGTGACAGCCCAGCCAACGCTCCGAGCCCCATCGCTCCACTCTGGCTCCTGTGAGGTTTCCCAGGCAGTTAATTACAGTCCCCTCCACTGGGATTTGCAAGTGCCCAGACTGGGAGAACACCCCAGAGACCAGTTTGGTGGCCTCATGATATGTGTTGGGTGACCCCCCACCACCACCCAAGCAGATGGTCTTGCATTTCCAAGTCAAGGTGATGCTATGGGGGGGGGAGGTGACAGGCTCTTGAAGGTGGGGAGGAGGGTCTTCAGCCCCTTCCAGACACCTAAACCCCCTTTCCCAGAGACCACCCCCTTCTTAGCACCCAAACCCCATCACTGGTCCAAGGATGGTCCTACCTGGGCCACGCAGCTGATGTCGGCCTCCACCTTCCGCAGCTCGGCCGCCTGCAGGTCCAGCAGCCGGAGGAAGGCGGTGGCCAGGCTGCTGACCTGGTAGGTCACGCTGGCCAGGGACTGCGTGGTCAACGCCATCGTCTCCTCCAGCGCCTTCCGCTTGTCGCTCGCCTGGAGAGGGGGAAAAACCCAGCCGGTGGGACGAGGCCACCGCCGCCACCCTCCATCTTCACGCTGGAGTCACACGGTAGTAAAGATGCTTCCTTCTGCTTTCCAAATGCATCAGACTTCCTCCGGCCCCGCCGGCGGGACACACGGACACCCAGGCACCGGCGCTCGGCTTTTCCGGCACTGGGGGTTCAACGTGATTCCCACCCGGGATGCTGCCACCTCGGCCGGTGCCAGACCCAAAACAAGCTCAGCCTCCTGCCACCACGGGGGACAGCTGGCCGTGCCACCAGCCGGCCGTGTGTGGTGACATCCAGCCACATCACCAGCCACCCAGGTGTGGGACAGCCGGTGATGCCACCAGCCACCCCTGCGTGCAGACAACCAGACGTGCCACCAGCCAGCCATGCATGGGGACAGCCAGACATGCCACCAGACACCCACACATGGGGACAGCCAGCCCTGCCACCAGCTGTGCTGGGGACAATGTCTCAGGTCTCTGAATGTTTCCCCTTCAGCTCTGCTCTGGAGAGTTGGCCACTACCAGCCCCTTGGGAGCAGCATCAAGGGCTGGCTCAAGCCAGCGAAGCCACCACTCCAGAGAGTTGGCCACTGCCAGCCCCTTGGGAGCACCATCAAGGGCTGGCTCGAGCCAGCGAGGCCACCAAAGCACCCAGGGACCCTCTGGCCAAGACACCTTCCCCAGCAAATAGGGCTGGAAAAAGCCTTTTCCCTCTTATTTCATCCCAAAAGCTCCTGCCCCACACTTCCCTGTGGGGGCCAGGGCAGGGAGGAGGAGGGGGTGACCTGACAGCAGCAGAGCTTCACGCTGGCTCCGGGTGTGCAGGAACCCAGCTCACCTCTGCCCGGCGAGGAGGCACCCCCAAAACCCTGGGGACCTCCTGGGGACAGCCATGGAGGGGCTGGTGTCCCTGGAAGCACCAAACCCCCAGAGGACTCACTCTGCACCCTGAGAACTGAGCAGAAAAGCTGCTGTGGAGCAAAAGGGGAAACTGAGGCACGAGAAAAAGCAGCGAGCGGTGGCCGGCAGCGCTGGGTGGGAAGGTAACGGGGACACTTGGGCTCCCCTCTCTGAGGGCAGAGCCTTCACTGTCACCCCCCAGCCACCCCTCCGGGACCACCACCTCCCCAGGGCTCCCGTTGCCCCCCGCCAGCATCACCCCCAGCCCCAAAGCCATGGACTCGTCCCCTACGATATCCCCTCCCGTCCCCCTCACCTGCAGGTAGTTGCTCTCGCAGTAGTCGGCCACCCTGAGGAGGTTGCAGTGGTGGTCGCGCAGGACCTGCCGCCCGGCCGGGATGTCGCGCTGCTGCAGCTGCTCCAGCTCCGACATGGTGCCGGCCTCGGCCTCGGCCCCCACTTCCTCCCCGCCCGCCTCGGCGCCGCGTTTTGAAGCTCGCGGCGCTGCTGACGTAGGGCCCACGGGCGCCGCCGTGTCCCTGTCCCACCCCCCCAGACCCTGAGGGACACCCCACAGCGGGCATGAAGCCCACCCCGGCCACCTTCACCTGGTGGCCCTCAGGAGGAAAGGTGGGGGGGGTAGTTGGGGGGAAGCCATCGTAGCCCCAGCCCCATGGGGGGACGCGTTGGGGCCGCGGTTGGTGGTCACCCCAGTGGGGCAGGGGGTGAGAGGGGCTGCGACGGTGAAGGATGTGAGTCAGGGAGGAACCGGCGGTGCAGGGTTGGGGGGAGCGACCGAAAAAAGGTCCCTGACCCCCATCTCTGCCACCCTCCACCAGCCACTAGGGAGGAGGGGGGGCTGAGCCGGGCTCGGGGGTGTCCCGGGAGGGCGATTCCCTTCCCTTCACCTTTATCAGCCGGGCAAGAGGTAGAGCCAAGGGCAGTGCTTTGACTGCCACGGCCCCCTCCCTGGAAAAGCCCCAC